CTGATCCTAGGAGTCGTAGACAGGATGATGTGTCGACAGTTCTCCTTTGCTCTGTTTCTATAGAGGACCATGCTGATCCGTGTGTTTTCTATGAACTGTTCTCTAGGAACAACCTGGAGGGCCTTGTTTTGATCAAATACAATTGGGATCAGGTCTGGTTCGTCCACAGAGATGGGTACATTATTCAATATTATTCTAGGGCGTCTTCCCTCAGAAATTTTTCCCTTGATTTTACCTGATACTTCAGGAAGTTTTTCAATTGCGTTGGAGAGAGTTTCGGCATCCTTATGTGAGTTGGTTCTGAAGCAGATGCCATTTCCTTTCACTCTCCTTATTGCCTTCACTTGAATTTTCAGGTCATGCGGTTTGATTTTCTTTATTATGCTATTTTCTATCTGTTGCATGTTAACAGTTTTTCCCTGTACATCTGTCTTTGGATACAATATGAGGGCAACACTTCCCCCGCTGCCCTCATTGTCCAATTTACTCTTTAAAGATCTATTAATGGTCCTAGTTGTAGACGTGGGCCTAGTATTCATTTTTGTTACATCCGCATAGGAGACAGGTAGGTTAGTTGAAACATTGGTTGTAGAACACTTTTGTGAGATTGTGCGTGCTTCCTGTACAATACCATGGAATTGCTCCAAGCATGAGAACAATCGCATAACTCTTTCACAGACTTCTTTTCTCTCTTTTGTTCTGATGTTATTGCCATATTTTTCTGGCAATAAGTTCAGAATTCTTATAAAATGTTGGTTTTCTTAACTTAGGATTTTGTCCTCCAAAACATTTGTTGATCCGTTGCTACTGGTAGCCGATCCAATTTGAGTCAAGTTATTCCCTTGAGACATAGTGGAGATGGAAAGTGTAAGGGACCAACCAGGAGAATGTAGTGTAATTGCAAGAATAAAGAGCTCTGATGGCTGTAAAACTCTGCCCCAGAAGATTGAATCTAAGTTGGGCAGAGGGGAAAGAAAACTGGTTGGATTGTAAACAAAAAGTTATACTCACCAACTCCAGCTTGATCAATCAGAAAACAGTTAAGTAATCCAAAGGTCTATGGAGGGGACAATGGGTGAAGCATGAAAGTTCCAAGAAGCGACAATTGAGAAGGCCAGGAAGTGGGATGGCGTCGCTGTAGCCAAGAGGTGTGGACCGAGAGTGATGACAGCAAGGACAACTGGAGAGCAGCTCACGAGGAGTCAAGGATAAGATGATACGGCCAGCACGAGCAGAGAGAAGAGGCGAGGACGATGCACACACTGCAAGAGGTGTTGACAGTAGATGATAAAGGTCCTGGCTGAGCTAAGTATGCCAAGCAAAGCTTGGCTTATGGAACAGCTACCAAATGTGTAGTTTCCCATCCCCAGCTATCCCTTGTGGAAGCATATAGGGGCTTCACTATTTGGTCGGATCCATTTGGTCAATGACTAAAGCCTATTTTGGCTTATTTTTGTGATTGCGGGCATCACCCAAGGCCCTTCTTTAGGTAACCGATGGTGGTGCTTAGCAGGTTCATTGGTCCTTCAAACTTTAAAACCACATGGCTTTTACACAGGCTGAGTCAGGCAGTACTTGCCTGGGCTTCCCAATTGCAACAAGTGCCGGCAATGACACCTGTCAGCACCGGCAATTGGGAGGGCGTGAGGGGGACTGGTCTGCTCCTTAGCGGGTTCCCCCAAATAAACAAAAGGCAGAAAATGGTGTCCACAACACTCACTAGACGGCCAGACACCACACAGAAGACACAATGATGACATAATCCAAAATGTACACAAAAAACACAGTTACAACCACCATTGGATCCAAAAGGGCGACTGTAGATGACTTCTTCACTAACACTGCTGAGGAAGCCATTATGGATGGCACAAGAATAGCAAACTTTCCTAAATAAACTAAGCTAAAAAGTTAGGCTTAGCAGACCCAAGCCTAACACCACCACTAAGCCTAACCTAGCCCCACTTTCCTATCTCCTAACACTAGCTAGAAATTTAGGCCTAGCTAGAAAGCTAGCTAGGCCTAAATTTAGGCTTAACACCTAAAAACTTAACAAAAATGCACTGTCTAACAGGAGCTATAAGAGAGCATGACTTACCTCGTCGACTTCCAGGCAGCCTCTGATCCAGCTTTGTTAACTGTACTGTTAGGTCATAGATAAGCAAAAAGTATGTTTCAAATGGCATCTCTTATCACTGTACACTTTAGAGGAATTAAACTCTGTGGCCTAATTTTTTCCAAAGAAAGCACGAAAACGATCGCAGTTCATTGCAGACATGTTAAAAATGCATTATGTAGATTTCATAAATTATTCCAACATCTGACCATTGTGAAAAATACTGAAAGCGAGACGAACGTGCTATGTGACAAGCAGCGATCTGGTTGCAAGCACAGAAAGTTACAGAAAACGTCACAAATCAATGTTTGCAAACTTTATTTAAAAGCATGTTACAATTCTGATATATTCCCCAGAGGTATCCACTGTTAGGCTCAAAAAAAAAGAATTACCGGAATATTTTAATATTGTGAAACATAAAATACAATATAAATATAAATACAGGTATCCGTCGTATAACACAGTAGTTACGTTCCGAAAAACTGTCGTGTTATATGTATCCATGTAAAAAATAAGAGTAATAAAGTACTAATATAAAACATAGGGTTAGCATCCAATAGTTAACAAAAGTATACTATTGTGAAAATTCGGACTAGTTTTTATTTCGACAACCTTAATATTTTATAATTTTTGTTCCAAGACAAGAAAAAATTATTTCGTTTTAACAAATTTAACGAAAGAAACGTTTTTTTGTTGAAATTATCCTGTTACATATCTTACAGGTAACACTTCTTTCACAGGTGACAAATAATTAGATAAAAACTACTTATCAAAGGAAATGTGAAAACAGAAAAATGTCTTGCTGCTTTCTTTATGTATCAAACTTTTCATTCTGTTCAACTTATTGGCTGATCGAGAAACATTTGTCCTGTACAATTGCGGATACGTTATTTCCTTTGTAATTTGTAACCGTTTTAGACTAGCGATGCCACGAAACAAAATTCGCTGCAAGTCCTGAAGGGATTTTTCGAAAAAACAACTTTACAGCATGTTTCAAGGATTGAAAAAACGTTGATAATTTTATTGCTGTGGGAGAAAATTATTTTAAAAAACAAAATAAATTTTGAAGTTAAATTTAGATTTTGCTTTCTATTTAAATATTTCCGATACTTTTCTTTGCAGAGGTATTCATGCTCACTGTAATCTTTACACTGATGAAACAGTGAAAATAAACGTCAGAAACATGAAAAAAGTGCAGATACAAAATATACAGTAATACTTACCTAGGGAATTCGATACCGGTCCTTATTTCTAATCCCGGAATTTCGGGATTATACTTAGTCGAACCCGGAATTATTTCGGTATTGAGGGTTAATAAAAAATAAGAAAATCTTACAGAAATCAACAAATCAAAATTTAGACAAAAATCAACGTATTTTACGATATACACCTAGCTAATTTAATCACTCTAACTAATCAGAGTTAGAGTCAGACTAACCAGACTTAAAATCACTTAGTCTTCATGTTAAATTTATTATTTTTAAGCATCACTGAGATCTCTTTAAACTCACATAAATTGAAAAAAAACCTTTATGTAACAAACTATGCAAATAAACGTTGAAAATTAACAAAAATCTCTCTTAACATCGAATAAATAGACTACTTTCATATAACAATCTAGTAAGTAGGTAGTAAAGTAAGTTTCTTAGCAAAAAGTATTTAAAAATAATATTAATCAGCCACTTTTTCTTCAATATAATGTAAACTAATCTATTAGGAATATTCTAATTTGAATTGCAAAAATATGATCTGAGAAATAACAACGCATCCAGTGTCTCATCACCAAGTTTGTTTCTCAATTTGTTGCACATATGTGCAGCTGCCAAGAAAACGCGTTTAGGTTTAATGGAAGTTGGAGGAATCGTTAGTAAATACTTATAAGCCCGCTCTAGTTTTAGCTTCGAGGACACGGTGACAAAAGAATACAGTCCGGTCAACACAGATCGAGATTGTAGGAGTAAAGGCTACAATCCTGATTGTTTCGATCATTGTAAGCATGTCATTCTAAAAATAAACGCGTTAATTTTGTAAATTCGGTCTCTGTGTGAGTCTCTCAGCGTCTAGCAAACCATTACCCCCAAACGTAAAAAGACTTTCTCGCATCATCCTGAGAAATCGCGGGCAAGGCGAGGTTGGTAATCTTTTCACCTAAGGTCGACTCTCCCTAAGCGAGAAGCGTTGGGTCTATATTAACCACACTGACAAAACAAAATGGCTGACACATTGACAGGTAAAACGCATTGAGTAGTGCTGTCGACTGCGCCAGAAAATCGATTGGCGCCCGCGAAAATTCAAAAATACAAAAATGGAGTATATTTCCAAGTAACCCAGTGAGAACTGCTTGCCTATCATTTTAGTTCAAAATACAAGAAGTTTTTTCCAAGCAAGCATCTCAAGCCCGCTAGGTTCATTTCTGCTGCTTGCTTGGAATAAAATTTCTTGTATTTTATATTAAAATGATAGGCAAGGAATTCTGTTAAAAGCACTGACACTGAACGTTTAGCTTCATGCAGTCTATTTTGCAACTTTTTTTAAAATGATGCAAATTCCGAAAATTTCGGGATTAGGAAAACTTAATCCCGGAAATTTTGGGACTGAAAAGTGGTCGGAATCCCGGGATTTCGATTTTCGAGATCCCGGGAATACCCAATTTAGAATAATTATAACTTATAGAAGTTTAGAAAAAAAATCAAATTTAAAAATTTGCTATTTTCAATATTATACAAGAGTTTAGTAAAGGTACTGTTAGTGCCGGAAATATCATATTCTATTTAAAAATAAAACAAGATATTGCATACTTAATATGTTAATGATATACTTTATGATCTCCAGAATAACTATCCTAAATTTTAAGTTAATTTTAATCAAATTATTTCATTTATTACAGAAAGTTTTCTCTATTTCATCTCTATTTACATCGCCTTTCTTCATCATTTTTTCGATACTGATGTTATGGCAATATTATGGATGGACTATTTTAATGGGATATTTGGTAGTATTTCTCTTCGTTCCTATACAATTTGCTTTGAGTAAACTATACTCAAAATTAAGGTAATTATTACTTTAAATTATATAATTATAAAGTAGCTGTAAATAAAATAAAGAAATCATTCTTTATAAAATATTCATTAGTTAATGAGGGTGGAATTGATGTATTTAAAATCGATAAAATGTTAAATATTTATTGATATCTATGCTGTATTACCTGATATTAAAAATGGTAATATGGCTAAGGTTAAGCATACTGATCTCGACATTCAAAAGAATTTTTTAGGCCCTGAATTTCAATTATATGAAATGACATTCACCATGCTGAAAAAATGTTGAATTCCGTGGCTGTTTCCTGATTTCTGAACTTCATTAGCATATCTTTTATATAGTACGATGTAATTCACGATTGAACTAAGGACTTTTTTTTTAACCTATGTAAGATTAACTTACACTAGTTTAAGAGAGAATCCACGATGCACATCTTTTTACGTAATGACGAAGACAAAATAAAAAAAATGAACAAGGAAGATTGTATAGAATTAGTAAGAAATGTATAGAATATCGTACGAGAGACATCAGTTTGACCATAAGAAAAAATATATCTGCGATACAAATAAAAATTTTGCACATAAAGATAAATGCTTAAACGTTAGAAGCTGAAGACATGTTAACGTTTAAAACTTAAATTACAGTATGATGAGTAATAACTTAACTTATCAAAGTTTGAAAATCCACTTTCTCACCGCGAACTTCTTAAATACCGGGGTGGACGCTTATCAGCCACCATTTACACCGGACAACTTTCCATGCAAACGAGATTAAACTTTTTCTCTTTTGTTATCGTGATTGAATTCTTTAATTTATTAGTTCATTTAGTTACAATTATTTGTCTTCGTGACGCGTTTATTTAATTTCAATTCATAATACGTTCATAAATTTGTATGAAAATTTCGTTTTAATGTTCAAAAACGTTCGTGAAGGATTAAGTTTTTTCTCAGCAAATAAGTTGTTGTTTAATTTGCAGTTTCTGTGCTGAGAATGATTACCAGGATAAAAGAACATAAATTAGAACTATGTAACATAGAAAAACTTTAAAAGGCAATTCAACTGTTTCTTCTTACTTAAATTACAATTCCTGTTGTGTATATTAAAATACGTTTCGTTGTTTAGTTTTAATTTTTCATTAACTTTTTAGACTTGCAAAATGATATAATAAGCATGGTTCGCGCTGCATAGTGCCACAATCGCCGCTTAGTGCTATTTTTATTAAAATGGCAATAAAAGTATAATACTGGCGATAGTACGTGACGATCTAATCCCGAGTTCGTTGCTGTCGACATTTAGCGTGAAACTGAGAATTACTGATTATACTTCAAGAAATGCAGGAAAATCTCGAGCTTCCGTTCAATAGGAATCCTGTGCATTATACACCTAGCGATTTCATGGCGTCATTAAGCAAGTTCTGGCAGTAAAGTATGATGTGACGTTGAAAACCAAACATAGTTTTGTACAATGCAACCCAACGTTTCCAGAGTAAAGATTTTTTATCGACTAACAGAAAGTTTGGAAAAGTTTTTGGTATGAGTTTTTCATTTCGATCTTTTTCAGTAGACTAAAACAAAATTTTTGACATCACAGAACCTTTGTCACGACTTGGTGAATTTATTGACACTTGGCAAATAATTTCATCATTCACTTTTAATTCATACAGATGCGCGTTTCGGGCTTTCGCCCCTCTTCAGTCTGTTACATAAATTGGTTGTATCTTGTGTATACAGTCACCTTCTGTACTTCTTATTTTCCTTTTCTTCCCTTCCGACTTGACAGCCTCCCCCACATGCCTCGTAACTTGTAACGTCTCACTCCCATAGTTACACACAGATCCTCGCCTGCGACTGTATAAACATTATATTTTAATAGTTGTAGCAAGTTTTTTTTATGAATTTCAATGCTTAGATTCATTGAATCAAACAAAACAAGAAGACAGGGTTTCGACAAATAAATAAAAACAAACACAAAACCTGTGAAATACTATTTAAACATTGCGATAAAATGTGTTATTAGGAATTATTTATTAAAAAATTATTTTAAAATATTTGTATTGCTAACAACGGGATGTCTTTACAAGCGAATAAGCTTCTGAAGTTAGTGCAAATGGACAAAAAAGACAGGTGGTATGAGAATGAAGCGTAGTCGCTCGTTTTGTTCTTTAAATTGTTAGTATTATAATCAATATTTTTACGCGCTCATCCTTGTTACGCTTCAAGTATCGCAATACCACTGTATTTGTAAATAAGCACGCAGAAAATTTTATTTTATAATGTTATGCGAAAATTTCGAGAGGCATGTTTTTCGTAAGCAAGAAATAACATCACAATTTTTAATTTTTTCTTTTATAAATTATAAATACGAGGAACAATAATAGTAAAAATAATGCTAATTATTCCGTATAATAATAAAATAATGCCACAGGTAAAAAATATTAAAATAGATTCAGTAGGTTCGAACCAACATCCACTTGTTCCAGAACGATGCCTTTTACGTGGCTATGGCCGCTCCTGAACATTAAACTTTAAAATTCTTTAAGTTAAACACTTAATTTTCAGAGGCCACTTTTTTGGAAATGTTTGAAAAGTGCATCCTGTTATTTGGACAAGGAACTGTAAGAGACAGTTTGCTTTCCAGACACCAAACTGATAAGGCTACATCATCAATCAGAAAAGAAAATTGGTGACTATAAACAATATAAAATGGCAAGAAACATTTAAAACTAGCGATACTGAAGCGATAGATTTAAATTTTCCAGGCCCATTTCTGCATGAATATTAGTTCTGAAATTTGTACAATATGATTACTTTTCGTGTATGAGATACTCCTGTACAAAAGATATTTCTTTTTTATTTTCCACTCTACCCTTCAATCGGATAATTACGATTTAAACAGTTCTATTTTCAGCAGGAAGTAAATAAATTCAATAAACTAAATAAATTCTTAGATATTATAAAAACATCGATAAAGCTTTTACTTATATGAATTTAAATACGTGAAATAATCTCTTTAAGTTTCAAATAGTATAAAAAGGGATTCAAGTAGCATAAATGACTCTTTTGTAATATTTAATACTTGATAAATGGAGGTCAACTATTAATATAAGATTATTATTAAATATAATCTATTCGTTCAGTTTAGTTTTATACAATTTTCCAAAATATATGTTTATAAATTCAATTACATAATAGATTACAAGCAGCTATTTTGGCAGACGAAAGATTGAATTTGTTGAACGAGATGATTGCTGATATGAGATTAATTAAAATGTACACTTGGGAATTGCCATATGCTGCATTAATAGAAAAAATCAGACTGTAAGTACAATTAAATGCAGTAAAACCTGTGTAAAACGGAATCTGAATAAGACGAATGCCTCAAAAATAAATTTTTCAAAAGCACGTTTAAAAAAACACATTGTTCGAAATATAAATTTCACAAACTGCATAAAAATATTGAATAATATTCGATTCCGGTTTGCACAGATTTTAATATAATTTCTATATGCTAATGTGTTAATCTTTAAATAAATATTTTCAGAGTTCTGTGATTATCATTGTTTAATTGTTTATATTTTAGGAAAGAAATGAAAATAATTCGAATGTTTTTATATGTAAGCGGTATATCATACATATTGGCGTATCCTATATCAAAATTATTTATTCTCCTGTCATTTGTCGCAATTTTATTAAATGGTGGAGAATTAAATTCCAAAATTGCGTTCGTCACAATGCTTTATTCCCTGTACGTTTTCAACAGCATTTTTACTCTATTTTCTCATGGAATGAGTTTTTTTGCAGAAATATTGGTTTCATTGAAGAGGATACAGGTAATAAACAGTTTCATATCTATTCCTTTGAAATTTAACTACTGTAATACTAATTTAAAAATTATTCGAGAATGACAATATTTAATTAGTAATATTACTGTAATTGAAAATAACAAATGTTAACATTTGTCAATAACAAAAGTTGAATAACTCCGCAACATAAGCAGGAAAAGTATACTGAATAAAGAACATTTTGTGGTAAATTATAAAATAATCTGAAAACCTTATCCACGCGAATATGATAAGGTCTTAGATACGAAGAATTAATTTAGCCTAAATAATGTTTGAATTTTAGGTTCCACTTGTAAATTAAATCGTTTTATCTTCGATTTTCACCATATATTGTAGAAAACTGTATTCTGAGAATGAGTTCGAATTTCTTCACATTAACGAATGCCACGTTGAAATGACATTCTGATCAATATAAGTTTTCATGAGTAAAAGTCTTTGCTGTAATTAGTTATAGTTGGAATTGAATACTTTTAAGTATTAATAATTTTCAAGATTTGAATAAGTTTTTAAAAACTGAATTTTCATAAATAAGCAAGAAATAAAATTAGTTGAATACAATGAAAATAAGGTTACACAGAAATGTCAGCTTGCTTTGTATGCAAAAGTTTGTAACTAAGCAACACGCAATATTTAAGAAAATTTACGAAAATTATTCGAAAAATTAGATCAAAATATCTTTATATCACTATAACTGCTATGCGATTAGAATTTCCCGTTTGAATACTAACAGACTAACTTACTGTTTACGTTTTTGTTTTTGTGTTTTTTTTTTTTTTTTTTGTTAAACTCTGTTTCTTTTTTCAGTAATAAAACAGGTGATTTTATGCTTATACTGTGGCCAAGGCATTATATAAATGATCTGAAAGGAAAGGTTATTATTGATGCAGTGTTTTCTATAGCCTACTTCATAGATAAATATTTGATATTAATTAGGTTGGGTTTCCCAGAATGATATGCAGATATTTAAATACACTATGGCAGTTCCATTGATAGAAAAGATTAGTTTTTTTTTTAATTTTTACACTATGCATGCTGAATGTTATTTGACCCTATAAGCTTATACGGATTATATCCGAAGACTTCTACTATTCAATTTCTGAGCACAAGGTGCACTGACCAATAGCAAACGTGTTTATTTGGAGAAAAATTTAAAAATTAACTTCCAAACTTAATATCATACTAAATCATTTGATTACTTCTTTATTGATAAGATATTTGTGAAAATCCGAACAGGAAGTGCATATAGTATCATTAGTTGTAGTTGTTTTGTGTCTGTTAATATCAGTGCTTGTTGCTAAACTATCCTGACAGATTACGTGATTTTCATTAATGTTAGATGTTTCTGTCTGTTGTTGTATTTGATCAGCAACCTGTTGATTGTGGGACAAGGTTGTTGTGTATAATTTTTTTTTATCAACACTCCTTTGTTCGGCGACAGTGAATTGAGGATATTGTTGTGCCAATCTATGGAGTTGTTGTCCATTCCATGCATTGGCATGGTTTTCCAATTTTTGTGGTCTGTTTATGCATTGCCACAGAAACACCAGGTGTAGGTTGGTTCCTTTCATCTGTTCAGGGCATTGCATTAGCCATGCTTGGGCTGGCGCTGCTTTTGCAATCGGTAACCAAAGGAGACTGTGGCTTATTTTCGAACGTGAGCCTTTGCCTAACGCGATCCATGTTGATCCCGGCTATGTCTGAGCCGATATCACACTTACATCTTGCCATGATAAATATCTTCAGAGAATGTAATTGTGGTCACTCTTAGATTTATTACACTCCATATACCTTACTGGCATGGGTATTTATACCAGTCGCACGTGCTGCAGCCCGTATTGCTCTGTGGATCAGTAAAGTTACTGGAATCTCCCACCAAAATAAGGTAGTGACTACGGGAGAGTTGTCGTTATTATTATTGTTATCAATCCATCTCGATTATATTATAAGATTTACTTAAGCTGTTTAAATTTTTTAAATATATACAGTATTTGATTATAGTGTTCCATAAGTTTGAAGAGGAAGGGTAAGACGAAACGGAAATGGGCTACGTCAGTCTGTAAAAGTAGATTAAAAAGTTTATTGAGTTAAATATATTTTATACAATTCGGCGTTAAGTTTATTCAATAAAGACATTGAGACCCGGGCCCAAACAAATAAAGTTTAGCCAACTGCGAATTGAATACTAGTAAAAAATATTGAGCTATGTGTATTTCTGTTAAGTACAGATTCAAAATTATTCCAGATTATTTACTCTCTGACGTACGGATATTTTCAGTCAAGTTATCTACTGATAATTTAATGACAGTTCAGGATCAAATATTAAGTTGAAGTTGTATGGGTTGGATATAGCAATTTTAATATTTTCAGCATAGGCATTAATGAATGAGGAGGAAATAAGTAATAAAAATTTATCAATGTAAGCGTGATGGGGAAGTTAATAAGCATCAAAATGATATTAAGTGTGCAAACTAATTTTCAATTTTCTGACAATACACTCTTTGTTTATTATAGAATACTGTAGTTTAGCATAAGAAAGACTTTCTATAACATGTATTTGAATACTACAACATTTAGTTAAAATTTTTTGTATGGCTTTTCATAAAACCTGTTAAAGATATTTTTTTTATGTATGACAGAAGCATTTTTACAATACAAATTAACTCAATTGTGCTGTATTTCTTTGATATAGGTTATAAATTTAGAAAAAGTTGCTCAAACCAAATAAATGTTTATATCGTGCTTTACACAGGTTTTTGCATTTCCTTTCTCTGTGAGAAATCGCGTTTATATATGACTCAGATGAAAACGATATATTCAATTCTATGAAATCTGTGTAGCATACGTATAATGAAACAACTTTACAAGTAAAAGAACTGAAATGCATCGGTCATTCAACTATTGTTATTCAAAACAAAATCTGGAAATATTTAGAGTAACTTAAAAAACAAGTTGATAATATTTGTATTTGAACGTTTATGAAACACCTAATAATCATTATTTTACAAAAGTAGTAAACATTTTTAGTCATTTTGTTCTGGCCTCTTTTGTTATATACATTAACGTTTTAGCCAGACCAAAGCTTGGGACAACCGAGTAGTTCGACACAAGGCTAGACATTATTGAAACAGATCGTGTGTTAAAAAATACTTTAGTTTTTTTAATGACTCCAAGTTTATTTTAAATCCCAGGAGTGGTAGCTCAGCACCTTATCCGCGTATTTTGTCGTGTACAAACTTTCATTAATATAAACAACATTTTCGGAATTTTAATTTAGGGTTTCCTACTCCTTCATGAAAAAGAGAATAATGCTGTCAAAACTGTAGAAAAAGAAGATAATTTAAAGGAAATACTCATGGATACTGTCACAGCTGCATGGAAAAAAGTAAGACCTTAATTTAAATTTAAGTTTTACAATGATAATAACAACTTTTGCGATTCGTTTAATTCGATAATTTTAAACTACTGTAAGCATTTTCGCGTAAAATGATTGATCGCCGCTGGATGTTCTGTTTTTTGAATCTATGTAATTTTAAATTAATGAAACAGTTAGCGATATCCATTAAAATTTTAACCAAAACAACAGTCATTTTGATTTACCAGTAGATAAGTGAATCACACTTTGTAGTGTAATTCACTTTTTTTTTAACTCTGTCCGCCCTGTGGGCACTAAGAGGGCCTCTTTTTGCAAGCCCATTATGGGTTCGGCCAAGCCCACAATGGGGCTGCCGGGTGGTGAGGGACAGAGCCCGTTATATCCGAACGGACCACCCCCCGAAAAAATCCTGTGGATTTTTCGACCCGTTCGGATTCGAACCCGGGTCCCGCAGAGCGCTAGGCCGCCACCTTGACCGCCCGGCCATCCGGCCGCAGTGTTATTCACTTATACTGGTAGCTAGTGTCGGAATGATACTCGACCGATGAGTTGGACACGTGGAGTTTCTCCGGGTTTTATTTACGTGTGTAACTTCTAAAGTGTAAAAGCCTTTATCACAGAAAGTCATTTTAGAAGGCATTGCTATGTTTGTAGATTACTCTTGTGTTACTTTTTTATCAGGTAAATTCATTTTTAAAAAAATATTTTTTCTGATACGGATCTTGCTTGTTTTCAGTAGCATTTCAAACTAACTGGCATACAAGCTAAAATGTTTGTATCTTTTGTTCACAGGTACTTTTCATAAATTTTTAAATTCTTATAATATTACAAAATACTGCATGCATTGCAACCTATGTATAACTATAAAGTTTAATGTAATTTGTATTTTAAATATTTGTAAATATATTGTTGTTTCGTAAATAAGGATGAACAAGGTTTGCAGAAACAAAATTTAAGTAACTTTATTAAATTAATCGATGATGCAATTTCAATTGTGATAATAATGTACGACATAAATTATATTAATGTAATTTTTCACCAAAATATACCGTAGAATCCTGCACCTAATTACACATGGTCGTAATGTTCCTGTTTTGATTGTTTCTGAATGGTATGTAAAATTTATGTTGAGTTTACATTGTGTCGAATTTATAAATAACCATAATTCGATAACTAATTTTACGGCAATTAACTTTACTACAATAGCAAGTGTACACGTGACCTGATATAAAACAACCAATATTGTAAATTTTCCAAACATTGTGGTTTGAAACATTTCAAGTGGAAATGCTTGCTGACCAGGTCTATGATATTAGTTTATAATAGTAAGAAATCGAATTGCCTACTAGTGGCCGAGTGGACACCGTCTCATAGTGACAGTGATCAAATCCTAAACACTGTGAGTTCGGTTTTTGGTTCGTGCCGCGATAAAACAGGTTAGTAGCTTCGAATTTCTGGGTTTTCTCCTTGCAAATAACGCCTAAATAGAAGCCATCTTCCCAAGAAATTAATACCTGGAAAGCCTTCTATCCATCCTTTGTGTATCCTTTGCCGTCTTCTATAAGGTCAGCTCTTTCATCGCCTTGCGATCTACCTCATCTCCCGTCTCGCTTCCCTTCGGAGTAAAAGCGAATACAATACACTCTTCTATACCCAGGAACAGGAAAATCGAATCGCAAAGGACAATATTTGCAAGCTATCAAAATATAAAGTAAGAAAACTTCTTAATAAAAAATGTAGTTTTCAAGGACAAGAAGACGACTATTCTTGTTAAATGTATATTTGTTTAGTTTTCTCTCTATTTCCGCTATTCTCCTGTTGGAATGTTCTCAAGTGGACTGTAGACATTGACGTGGCATTGATATTTAATGTAGCAAGTGACATGGTATAATATATACAAAGAGGTGTATCGCTGATTGTATGCGAAAAAATTGTTTTTCCAATCAGTGTTTAGTTGGAACCTAAATTTTCGACATTCCTCGATAGTTGTAAGCGATGCCCGATCAGATTACAAATATGCTTAACAGGAGAGAGATCTGGAGTTCTGGCTGGCCAACAAACGATATTGCAAGACATTCACTTGAATGGCATGCCGTGTGTGGCTGGACATTGTCTTTATTGAACAATATACTATCTTGTGTGCTGAAAAAAACATGTCTCGGAATGTCGTCAACGTATCGCTATGTTGTTAGGTTGCCGTGTATTTCTACTAAAGTATTTTGCTATCAAAAGAAATGACACCTCGATCCATCGGTCCATAAGTATATGGCTCAAAAACAAGTAACTGTTGTTTTAATTTGTAGAATTCGAAAGTAAAAGCCAGAGTCCATAATAGCTAGAATTTCTCGATACACGCCTATGCGGGTTGCCAAGAAATAGATCAGAATAAGACTGAATCTTCACTGAATACGATTCATTTTCAATCAGAACAATTCTATAATAATCCAGCCCTATACCACTGCAATTTTTATTGACAATGGCTACGGGTCAGTGACGTCTGGCATATTGGGCATCGTGAGCATAGATATCGATGATATAATTGCCTAGGAATAATCTTGATTGTCACTTTAGTATTGGTCACATGTTACCGTCGTTTGCAAAAGTTTAAGACCACTAGTTGTTTTCCAGTGTTTTACGCATTTCATCATTTGCATATATTATTACACCATTTCGTGTGTTGATTGCATCAGATGCATTCCGCTGGTATGAATAAATGTGTATGTGCGCATTATCGGCAGATATTGACTCAAATTTTGCGTAGATAGTGCTGTACTGAAATTATTAAAATGGGTAAGAAACCTTTACTCACTGTTGATATAAAGACATAAAAAATTTTGACCTTGCATAAAGTCGGTTTTTCTGAACCTCAAATAAGTTCTAGAGTAAACGAACAAAACACTTGTTTATCAAGCTATCAGTAAATTTTAAAAAAATGTCGAGAATTCACTGATCGAATAAAGAGTGGTCACCTGAAAATTACCTCTTCACATGATGACCATGTGATAAAAAAACTCTTTGTACGATCACCAAGAAGATTATCAATAAAATTCCATTAGATCTGCTTTTTCTGTGTCGTCTTAAACTTTTTCAAACGACTGTATATAGTTGATAGTAATGACTTTGGTGCTGTTACAGCTGCTCGAATAATAGTTCTATCGTTCTATTCTATCGCCTCTCTAGAAAAGCCGTTGCCCGCTTTTCTCTGGACTTGGTCATGCATAAGAGCATTGTCTAATTGCAGCGTCACTCCGACCCAAATGATCGGCGATATGTAGATTTGTCCAATTACTTTTTTTCAGTCTGAGAAGTCTTCTTTCAATATCAGTTATATACAGTAGTTGTACTGAGCATGAGTTCGATGGCGAATCATTGTTCACAAACTCTGACAATCAGCATAATCAGACAACAGTAGAAGTTGTTTATTAGATTCGGATATGTATAGCCAGTCCATTTTGAATCTTAATTGTAATTCCAGAGAAAATAATTCGATTACTTTATAATAGTATTTTTGTTGCTCAGTATTGCGTTATATTACCACAAATTTTAATCTGTTGGGTGTGTCAAGTGTCACAAACAAGTTCAGAGAATGTTTTGATTGGAGAAATTCCTACCACGTGATATTCTCAACTTGTTGGTGTTACAACTCACATAACACAAAAACTACTTCATTAAACGGTGACTGAAAAATTTTGGATGATCGACTTCATTTTACAGGTTGTCAGGTTATTAATATGTTACGGGACATTCAATTGACGTACGATATATATTGTACAAAAATTCATTTTAAAAAAAATAAACTGATTTTAAATTTGATAACATCTATCATGATTTAATTATTAGTATATAATTATTTTTGATTTATAACGTTTAAGATTAGTTTTGCTTGTTTGTTGTTTTAAAAGGGAACTGAACCAACGTTGAATGGGATATCTTTAAATATGCAATCTGGAGAATTATTACTTGTTGTCGGTCATGTTGGATCAGGAAAGGTAAATACCTTGATTTTTCAATTTATTTTAAATTAATCACATGCTTTACGATTTAACGATCTTTTGAAAAATTACAAAAAACGTAACCATTTATCAGTTTATAATACAAAGACTTCAAATTTTAATACTTGATTTTGTTATTTAAGATATTTTGTCCTTTTTTGATTTTAGTTTTATTTGATTTGAATTCATGAGCATAGAAAATATATGTTTTGTGCAGTTTTCAGGCAAAATGGCAGGTTTTATATATAACGTGTCAGAATAGAAAAATCGTCACTTAATTCTTTGTATTTGACTTACTTAACTGGTTGTGTGCATAGTCCGTTATAAAATCGTTCATTTTTGCTGTTATGCATTAAAATAAACTGACTGAATGAAAGAAAAATATGATATACAATCGGATTATAGACGTTTATAATTACGTGTTCGAGTCATTGCTTATCTAACATTTCCAACTAAATATAAATATTTATTTAAAAATATAAATAAAACATTCTTTATTACTTTTCTTCGTCATGAAATGGATAAATTATTCCAAATCTACAAGTTATTCTTATTGTATATTTTCCAAGAAGTATTAATTTATAACAACTGATTTTAAAAATTTTTGCACAACATTGTGCATTTATAACTGAATTTTCTTTATTATTAATTTTTGTACATTCCTATACGAAAGTTTATTGTAGATAAAATTCTATTGATTCACATACCTTTGTTTCCTTATTATACAGTTAATTCTATAAGTATCTACTGGGACAATCCTATTAGTAGGAATTTATTTTACAAGTTCCTGGTTTTGCACATTGCCGAAAACTTATTCGGGAAAACAAACAGGCTGTTTTTCACCTGTTTCACCTGTATACACTCAGCCGATTGCAAAAACAAAGTTTACGTTAAACGACGTTAGCTGGCTGGACTGCCATCTAAAATGCGTTGCAAAGTCTACGATCGTCTATTTTTAACGCCGTATAAACGAATTACGGCAACAAAATGTTGGCTCTTACTTTTTTCGCTCCTACTCCCCTCTCTCAGAAGTCGTTTATCTAATCATTTCATTCGTTTATGACGCCAGAAAATTGGCGACAAACAATGTATTTAAATCATGCCAGAATTTTTCCGAAAAAGATTAATATAAGAAAAAGAATAAAGTGTCCTCGAGGAAAAGTTAGAAAAAATTATTTTGCAGTTGAGGAAGTAGGTTACGTTACAACAATCGTATTTCGGGGATGAAAAAAATCGCACGGTAGATTATAAAAAACGAATTTTCTTCGCTGTTTTCTTGTCGATTTGCTCGCAGCGAAACCTCATTCTTATTATAAACGCCTCTATCAATATACAAAATGCTTTTTACATTTATTTAATGATAGTTTGATAGATACCTGCATACAGTACAGACATGAATTCGGATAAGATCACTGGCTAACCTCTGGAAGCTTCCAGTGGAAAAAAATTGTATTGTTGTCAACTGTTGTTCAGTAGTTAATAGCAATCTTCTTCTATTTAGATGGATGCTTAATTTCGTCGTCAATACGATTTTATGAGAATCAAAATTTAGGGGGTTAAAGAAATTAGCGATAAAAAGAACGACTTAATTTCAGTTTTAAAATATTTCATAACTTTGACAAATTTTTCGAACAACGGATGTCAATACTTTCGATTTTGATAGGAACTTCATTTCCTTTCTTACGATGACTAGTAAGTTGAATTATAAGCGGTCGCACACAGGATTTTTCCGTCTGTTTAACAGTCGACCTGTATAAAAGGGGAAGATTTTTCTCCATTCGGGGTAGACGTTGAGGAAAAGTACCTGACGTCATAAGATAGATTCGCCGTAGCTGACAAAACTATTCAACGTTCTACCATACGAATGGCGCCATACAACACTTAACGACCATACAAATTCAACAGGTTTAATACAAGATACAGAAGAAAGGTGTTAAGGTAGTATGTTAAACTAATATATTGTAAACTCTCCGCGAAATAGATAAAATTAAGGTTTAGTGTGTAAGGTAGATAGTTTCTCTGATACATCGATAATACTTCCATTTATTTGCATTCTCGTAGTAGTTGTATTTTATTTGATCATTTGTATATTATTCTTTTTATCCGTTTATTCGTTATATTACATTTATTGTTTATTTGTTAACAATGATCTCATTCATATCGATGCACTCCCACTTACACAAACGTAAGTCCTTCTAAAATTCGGATCCCTTTTTACTCCTATCTGTACGCGTGTTAATCCCCGTTAAAATACGATTAACTGGTGACAACATCCTGACAGAAGATGCAATTGTGAAATCATAGTCTCCACATTTATACTAGCAACGTAAGTCTTCCACTATTTAGTAGTAGAGCCATCCTTTTTGACAAACAGAGGACTAGTTTAACAACTGGTAGCCGAGTAAGCGTTATACAAATCATAACTGTATTCTATATTCCCGGCCAACCTCACAATTTAAAATACGAACCCAAATTAAAAAAATCTGTATCCAATTCGAAATTCGTTTTCGGAATATATTTCTAAATAATTATTCTGATCTCGATCTCCTTCTCTCTTCGTAATTGTTGAGATGAGTAATTTTCTTGATTCGTATCGTTTACAATATTTATTACATGAAAAATATTCATTGTAACATAAACTTTGCCACCAACAAATGAATATGGCGACTTCTACTCAAATAAAATAGCTATCAAGGAAGTACAAAAATTAGAACAAATAAATTGTTTCTAATCTGTGTTAAACTGTGGCAAGCGAGATATACCGTCTCTGCACAGAAAGATTTCTGAACCGCGGTCTACACGATCTCTAAACTGCCATCTGTGAGAATGAGGACGATGCTTTTATTTTTTCACTAACTGCGTAGTTAGTGAGAGTGACTTTCGTCGTCCGAAGGTCATCGACGAAGGACCACGATGTCACGTGACCCCCATACGTATAAGCGACCGGACGCTAAAAATAACCAAATAAGGAGTTTTCTACGGCGAGGGAGACTGTCATAAATCTGGAGAACTGTCAAAAGAGTAGCAGATTTTCCCACGCTAAAGAGTATATAAAGGGGTCGGATTTTCTACTCGGGGCTGAGCCAGGGTGCTTAAGCCGAAGAAACTCCTCTGCAAACCTCAAGAGCGATCTAAGAAGCTCATAATTGCCGCTCCATGAAAGTTAAAGGACTTTGCTTATTTTCTATTCTCTCCATATACGACCGAATTACTCCTCGAAGAGATTAACAGAAGAAACCTCCGAGCAAACTTCACAAGGAAGAACTCTACATATTGGGAGCGACGGAGCATACACCGTAGAAGGACATCGCTCCACATAGCCTTCAAAGGAACCTCGGAATAGAAGACGATCACAGGGTGTTTTATTAACGCCCTATAATTGGAGAACGTTGCCTTCGAGGTAAACCCTTGCATTATTATTTATCTCTCTCTAACGCGAGCTCTCTCTCTCGGATTTTAGCGTTAGGTTAAAATAGTTTTTTTAGAATATCTATTTATACCTTGATACGCGTATGTTGTATTTAAATTCTTTGTGTAAATTTTCATAGTTGTTTATTAAATGTGTTCGTTAATTTTAACCCGTGTAGTCTTTTGGACACCTGGTCACGACTTCCAACTCCTCCCCACTCATATTTTTAGCCCTCCTATAGCCATCCGACAACCGAGAGCGGGTCTTCCCGACCCGTGCAGATTAAGCGGTCATTTGGGTTCGACCCGGTGACCCCCTGCTACTCACACATCAATGTTTAAACATAATCTCTGCAATCGGCTAACTGTGTTTGTGTTTCAGACCTTTTGGTACGTCATGAGTAGGTTTACAGCCAGTAGGTGCTAAAACAAGATTTTATAAAATTACAAAAATAACTTGCAGATGAAAGACCAAGTGGTCCGAATCACAAACGTAATGTGTACAGGTGAAACAAATGAAAAATAAGAATTGTTTTTTTTAATCAGTTTTCTTAATTCATAGAACCCACACAACAGTATAATACGTCCTCCTACTAATAAGATGAATCCCAGAGACACTTATATAAAAAAATTTTATTGATTAATTTATTAATAAATGTAATTTGTCAGTTTTTCTTATGAATTGGAAAAATATGTTTTATCATCCATTGCATTATATGTGCTGATAAGGTAAAGCAATTGATAATTAAAATAATATCCTTATAATAATACGTAAATATTTCTAAAATATTTATGTAATTATATTATTTATGCAAAACATTTCGTATCAAATAATTAAATGACATTAATTTCGTCAGACATCTTTACTAATGTCCGTGTTGGGAGAGATTCCAATTACTTCTGGTGAAGTGTCTGTGAAAGGAAAGATCTCGTATGCTTCTCAAGAAGCTTGGGTATTCAACGCAACTGTCAGAGAAAATATCTTGTTCGGAGAAGAATATCACGAAGACAAATATAAAAAAGTCTTGCATATTACTGCGTTAGAAAAGGTAAAATAATTTCTGCATTTATTATTAAAACTTTTGCATACTTACGTCGGTTCTAGACGAAAATTTGTTTATAAACTGCAAGGTGATACGAAAATGATCTGTTATGTATCACAATACGATTACGTTACAAGCCAATTGTATCTCGTTTTTTTCTTAGAAACATGCCATGGTTTATGAAGTTAAATTATTAGAAAGTACAAATGATGTATTTAGATTTATATTGTAATGGGTTTTTGTTAAACATCTATAAAGTAGCAATGTTAAATACATTAATTATTTTAACAGTGCAATACGTGTATTATTTAAGGTTAATAGTGCAATATGTAGTATAATAGCAGTAGTAGTCTTTTCAATGCTAAATAGCATACTGAGACAGCAATTATCTTCCATCGATTTCGATCATAGGTGAGGGCTTCCGCTTCCTCCCAGGTCATATTGAGCATCTTGTAATCTTGAAAAAAGTTTACGCTAAGTATACCTGGAGTGTTCTCGTGGTCGTTTGGCATTATGGGAACCTATATCATGGCTGTATTAGGGAACCTATTGGTCTCCAAAGAAGAAATGTGGTCAGCCAGAAAGATTTTTCTATGGGCGACAAAGTTATGAAGTTTTCACATCCCACTCCAAAGAACCTGTTCATTGATGATGTGATCTAAATATCAATTAACTTCACGTCATTTATCCTGATGCCAATTTTGTGTCCATTCTGACCCAATGCTTGTTGTAGCATTGTCTCACTTTCCTCAAACAAGGCGATATCGTCAGCAAAAACCAAATTTATCAGACATTCCTGGTCAGACCACTCGATGCCAGCCCCAATGCGCGGACCGGACTCTTCTTCCAGCCGCATGACATAATCAAGGGCGATGAGGAAAAGCAAAAGGAACAGGACACTACCCTGCCTAACTCCTGTCATAATTTAAAAGAAGTATGTTTGACCACCTTCAATTTCTGCATTCAAGTTGTTGCCTCAAAACCTTCAGTTTTGACGCAACAACTTGAATGCAGTTATAAACCTTGGAAATGATGAAAATGTTTTTCGGTACACCATATAGTTGCAGGATCTGTTAGAGGGACTAGTAGTGAACACTATCAAAAGCCATCGTGAAATCAATGAAATTGATGGCAAACGAGTGTCAATACTCAATGCATTGTTGGATGATATTTCCAAGGTAGAAGATCTGATGCTGAATGATCTTCTGCAGCAAAACCCAACTGGATACTCTTTGAATCGTTGATCGAGGGAAATCCTTAGGCGTCGAAAGAGGACCACACAAAATGCCTTTCCAGGCACAGAAAGAAGGCTAATATCTTGCGAGTTGGTACACCTGGAGATATCTCCTCTTTCAGGAATTTAGACTATAACGATCCTCTGGGACCTCCCCAAAATACCAGTCCCTGTTAAACAATAACGATAACTTTTCCAACATGATTTGCCCTTCATGCTACGAAACCTCAGCCATAATTTTGTCAGAATCGGCTGCACTGCTATTTAGACTCTTAATCGCAAGAACTACTTTCTGAAGGGTAATATCACCAGTGTCCATCTGAAGCTCACCCTGTGTATCCTCAATATCGAAATAAAGTATGATGGTCGGTTCCGCATGATTAAATGTTTTCCGAAAATCTTCTATCCACCTGTTGTTCTGCTCATCTTGGGCTATCAGAAGAGTCCCGTTTTTATGTTTTATTAGAATGCTGAGTTATTTTTCATCCCAGTCAGTTCATTGACTATGCGGTACAGAGTCTTTGAGTCATTTCAGTCAGAAACCTCCTGCGCTTGACCACCCATTCGTTCTAACCATTCTTTCTTGCCTTTCTGACAGCTTTTCTTTACAGGTCTAACTAACTCGGTGAATCTTTGGCTTTTTTCCTCCATCTCACTCATTGTTTTAGAGTGTTAAAGCTTTGCATCTTTTCTTTTATTAATCAACATCGACGAGCGATCTTAGATCTACTGATCCTTTTTACGTCCTCGACATCTTCCAATGATGTTGGATGCACTCCATGGTAATGTCTCTGAGGTTTTTCCAGAGATCTATGTAGTATATCTGTTACCTCTCGATGAAGGGGAAAAAATTGTGCATCTCCGGAGTAAATGCTTCAGCGATGATTACATCATTTAATAATTGGATCATAATTTTTCTCTCGCTGAATGTCCTTTATAATGAACTGCTTTTGATTACAATGTTTGAGCTTAACTTGGTCATGGTAATATCCAATATCTACACTTCTGTAAATCCTCACATCGTGCAATGATGTCTTCAAACATTTACTAATACAAATAAAGTTTATCTCATTAATACAGCTCTGTCTGGTGACAGCCAGCTTTCTTTATGGAAAAGCCGATGCTAGACGTAAATGTACCCAACACATAACCTGGAATGTTAACAAATGACGTTAGCCTTTCTCCATTGTCACTCATATAAACAGAGATGCATGAGCACCAATTACACTCTCAAGTCTTTGACGATTGCCGCCCAATTGGGCATTTAAGTCCTCGATCAGTACCCTCAAGTCATGATTTCGGATACTGTTAAAGACGTCTTGGAGCTGCTTATCAAATTCATCTTTTATTGTGTCTTTCACATCGTTGGTTGGCGCATAAACTTTCACCACAGTCGCTTTGGTGTTTTTATAGATAAAGCGAACGGTAATAATACTATTACAGAAGGGCCTCCATCCAAAGAGTGCTTATGTCATTCGTTTACTCAAAATAAGACTTACTACACGTTCGTGCAACTCTACACAGTCCATGTGCAGAAGGTCTGCCATCACTACTGATTCAACCGTTTGTTGTTCATCTAATCTCACTGACGCCAAGTATATCAAACCAATTTTCATCAAATGGCCGTAGTAGCTGAGCGAGTCTTCCACTCTGGTAGTAAACACACTTCCCGTTTCAATTTTCGTAATATTTCTGGCGGAAAAGATCGCATCGGACACCGTTTGCCGGTTTCGTCCGACGCTGTCATATTACTTCGAGGCAAACTGCCGCTCATTCGATAGAAATTTTTGTACAGTATTTGGAAATTACTGTAATAGCAAATTTTCGGTTCATTTCATTATGAGCGGGCAATTCGTCAAAGTGGAAAAGTGAGCAGTTTTGAGTAGGTTTTGATTTTAATACACTCCTTGCCATAAGATTTCGCTTACCAAGTTGTTGTCATATCGACACAAAATATGGTATGCGGATAAATTCCAAAAACATATGAAAAGTATTACACGTATAGCATGATAGTATATTGTGTAATGCTAGCAGAGATCGTTAAAATGTATTCTTTTATCATATAGAAGAAGTGCAAATGCATCCTGTCTGTACTTCTCATGTCGAAAAAACTCTGTATCACTAGAACAGCTTTTACGTCACACTTGAAGACTATTTGAACAACTAACCGAGTTTGAGAAAAAAAATCATAGTGGGAAAAAAAGTCAGATGGTCAACTTGACGAATCGCCCGTCATCCAAACCGTTCAAAAAACACTGAAAATTTGTTAAGACCAGTAAATAAGAGAGAGCAGGTACACAGAGCACCCATGCTCAAGATACCTTCACAGACCACTAGTCTGAGAGGACCCCGGTCCGAAGACAAACACATTTGCAGCTAACCAGTCTGTTGTCCACCATCCGGGCACGGGTGGCACCATTATTACAGGGCCCTGCTTCTCGTAGTACCATTTCGAGGCCCCAGGTTAAGAAACATTTGGTATTACAGCCGCTATGACATAAAATAAAATTGAAACCATCCTACTGGTCGTCTACTGCAATGAATTTACATTCAATTTTAGCACTGACGACGGCCGTGTTTATGTCTGCAGGTCATGTTTGGAACTCCTTAATCCTGCCTACATTTTGTGCAGCACATTGCCCCACAACTGGTATGATACTCTGTGGTGTCACGACAGCCAGCCAATTCTAGTAGCGATTCAAAAGACCATCACAGCCCTGCAGTATGTTTGTGACATCCTGCAGCCACATTGTTGTCTCTTAGGACAGGGCTCCCAAGAGCCATTTACCAACAGTAAAATTTTCGAACACACACCCGGCAATAGTGTCAGTGGACTGCTTTTGCCATATTCCACACTTTCCTGCCATGAGCGATCCCGTGATTTGTCACTGATTGAACATCTCTAGAATCTAATGAAATGCAATATTAAAGTGTGCAGGAATTTGATGAAATGAGAAAATTATTTGCAAGAAATATGGACCGAGATACCGCCAAACACACAGCACTCGTAAGCCTATATGCCTGCCTGCATGACATGGTGTATTCAGGCTAGAGGTGGCCTAACAGTGTACTTACTATAATATTTTTTTCGTTTGTTCGTTTTCCTACAATAAATGTTTCTTTTGCTTTCATTTTGTACTCATTTACTTATATCTCTATTGCATTCACAACGTACAATATCATTCCATTTTGACAACTCCTTGCTGCGCTAACTTCTATGGAAACGAGTGTATGTTAATGACATTTTGTAAAACTTGTAATTAGCGAGGTTGAGGCCGAAGTTTTAAACGTAAAAACGTGTACGTCGGGCGTTATGCGCCGCTTTCCTGTATAAGCCTACAAGTTTGACAACGGTGTTTGTATAGTCAACGGAATCACGCTCGACATTCCAAACACCATTCTAGGCTAACAAGAAAGCGGCGCTGAACGTCTGACGAAAACGTTTTTGTGTTCGAAACTTCGGCCTCAACCTCGTTATTAATTTATATTTTCTAACGTTTCAATGAATTTCTTTATAAGGCATTTTTACTTTAAGTAGGGGACGCAATGCAAATTTTATTCAAACTAAACGTGATTTGTAAAGAAATTCATTTAAACGTCTAGCATTTATTTATTTATTTATCGTAGGATATTAGATTATTTCCGAAAGGAGATCAGACAATTGTAGGAGAACGAGGTGTCATAATGAGCGGTGGGCAAAAAGCAAGAATTAATTTAGCAAGGTAAGATCGATCTTTCTTAATTATTGTATTTCTAGGCGTACAAACATGAAAATACAATTTTAAAAGGAATAAGCCGGATGCACTGTAATAATATATACATTCTAAGAAAATCAGATTAATGCTTCTAAGTATACTGATTAATAAATTAATTATTATATCCTGGTGAAAACGTTCGTAAAAATTTCCATTTATTTAATGGGCTGAGAGAAATATTTTGGTCTGTTTAGTTTTTTCAACAATAATAGAAAATCCAGTGATTTCCTAGAAATTCTATACTAATTTCATGTAACATTGATAAAATTTTCTTGTACGTTTGATTGCAAAATATCAATAATTATCGCATACGTTTAAAGAAAAATGATTAATAAACAAAAGAGTTATATATTATTATCGAAAATAAAACTCCAACATTAATCTAAATATATTAAACTACTGACAACTATGTGCAATTGTTTGACATGCACATAGGTAACACAACAATTCAAAAAATCAAAAATGAATTAAAACCGAGCTTCAGAAAATTAACGGCTCACAGTGTTTTGAGATCAACAGACAATGTTTCTTTTATCAAAATTATACAACTTCGATTACAAGATGCGAGAAACAACTTAGAAAGAGGAGAAGGGTGGCAAAAATTAATCTACTCGGATGAGAAAAAGCGAAATCTTAGCAGATCTGATAGTTTTAACTATTATTGGGCCAACAAAAGACCAATACTAGGATATGGTGCGTTAAAAAAATATTATTTCAAAGGGGAATCACTTATAGATAGAGGAAGCAAAGTAGACAAAGGAAAGTATTAGTGTGAGAGGCCGGACTTGATAAAAATTTTATTCAAAAATTTTTCGAAAAAGAAAGATCGCTACGAATATGATTATATCCTATCCCACGGACATGCTTCCTTGTTCAAATGCAAAAATCAAATGCAAAAATCGCCGATGGACGTGGAGACCAATTTTTCCAAAAAACGACAAAAGTTGCAAGGGAAAGGACCCAAAATAACGGAAATGGTCTGACAACGCGACAGAGAGTTCGCCTGTCCTCGAGGGTTCGTCGTACGCTCGGATACACTTTGTCGCTGAAGCTCCTCCAATAGCCTAACAGTTAGGCTATCTGCCGATAACCGATGACCCCAAGTCCTAAGAAAAAGGACCCAAATCAAATCAAGAAAGTGATCTTCAGGTAAATACAACGCGTGAACGTTTGTAAACTTTTTTTCTCGCTTAAAGCATATGTGTAACAAGTTTATATAATCAATAAATAGGTATTATTTTTTATAATCGAATTCTAATATGCACTTTTTTGCTGAATCGGTCTCCACCCCGAGTCCAACCACTCACACGCCTAACTGCACGCGCGTAAAAGCGAATGTAACAGTTTTCGTGTCTATCCTCAAAAACTCGGTTGTGTCAGTTGTGACAAATCAGTCATTGCAGACTTTGCCGACGCAATGTCGACCCTTCGGTCGTGTGGATCCGAAGCATAAGCGGACGCTTCGCGCATTGTTACATTAGCAACAAAGATATAACACAAACACTACAATCGTTGAGAGAAATTGATTTAGTCTTAACTATAGCAGACAAAAGCATGCATTTGATTATTATGAAAAGAGAAACTATAACAAATATTTAGAAAAGAGGTTCCCAAAGTGGTCGATATAAGTGGCAATATTGAAGGGGGATCGATGAAACTACTAAAACACAAATTTTGAACCGAATATTGTTAATCTTGCGAAGGATCACCAAGCATATCCATCTCATTGACTGTCAGTTACAAAGATTATTATTAACATATAAAATAAATGCAAAATTATAATAAATATATTAAAAAAGTAATAGCTTTTATTTCTGCTTTTAACACACTTTTTGGTGGGTGTCTATGTGAGATTTCGAAAAACTGTAAGGGGCAGAGAATCAAAAAAGTTTTGTGACCCCTTGTTTTAAGGATTATATTGAACGAACCAACTGCGAATGGACTGATATTAAAATTTCTGAACACACTAAGAGAAGAGTTTAAAAACTGGAAGAGACAAGGTAGCCAAGGAATAGGGTTTGCCCAATAATTATCGGGACTGATTTTTTCTTTTCAATGGGAATGGATGGAACAGACTTTATGAGTGGAATCGGTGGTACGGGATGTCACATAAGCTACGAGAACCGGATCAATTGTCACCGATCCTTTGGAATGTGTAGATCGTGCCGAAAGTAGAAGTGTTTGTGCTCGCTTTGAAAGGAAAAATGCAGCAAAACATCGAGCAGCGTTTTGCCATTAAATTTTGCGTTGAATTGAACAAATTCGCTACCTGGTCTGCCGCGTTTGAAGAAAGATCGCCGATACCTGGATGCTCCATCACGACAATGAACCAGTCACACCTCACTAATTGTGAGAGAGACACCGCCCAAATGCAACGTTTGAACGCTTCTTCAACCACCGTGCAGTCCAGATTTGGCACCCTCGACTTCTTTTTATCTTTTCGGATCAAAAGGAGCCTGAAGAGATATCGTTTCGGAACGATTGAGGCAGTCCAAGCTGCTTTGACAAGATGCCTGAATAGCCTTGCGGTTGCCTACTTTCAGGGGGCAGATAATGATTGGATAAAGTACTGGCAGCGGTGTATTGATGCAGGAGGATCGTAACTTAAAGATTGTAAACTCACTGTACTTGTATCTTTAATAATAAATTTCATTTTATGACTTCAATCCCGTTACTTATGGACAAACCCTGTATTAACTTTCCTTAAAAAAAAAAGCCGGAATAAAAGAGCAGAAATGACAAGGTTTTTTTTCTTTGCAAAAATACTCAAGTTTCGTAAAGAAATAAGACTAGTAGAGGAAAAATATAGAAGCCCGATACATATAATTTAAAAGCGATTCCACAAATACATTACCACCAATCTTGAGATCAATACATTCGTTGCAGAGAACCAAGGAAAATTAGTAAGGGAATTTGTCTTAAGTATAATATAATATAAGGGAATATAATAAGGAAAGTATAATTTTGTTTCGCAGCATTAATTGAATTTATGCTTTAACAAAAACTGCGGAAATAGTTATTTACTCCACTGACATGACGCAATTCGCAAGATTATTATGTTTTGAATCATGTTATAGCTTTAACAACCAAATATAGAGACATAAGAAGAAAAAGTTTTTATGGTTACAACGTATCACGATTTTATGTAAAATAGTGTTTCGAAAATAAAAAAGAATGTTTTGAATAACTTGCAAGCAGATATTAATATATTTTAAAATATAAGTGGATGATGTATGTATAGTTTGAATATTAACAAAGGCATCACTGAATTTATAGATAAGTTTAACAATAAGAAAATAGGCTAACATTATAGACAGAACAAAAAAGCATACTGCAGCTACATTTTGTAAATATAAACATAGAATTTAATAACTGAAAGATAATCACAAGTGTGTACACAAAGCCAACACATAGCTGACTGTACATTCCATCCAATTCAAATGGCCGTTTTTAATACAAACTAGCAGGCATTCATCAGCAGAGCTTTTTTATATTGCGAACACTACGGTACTGTCTAAGATAACGCGAACTGAGAGCTCTGTACTAAAATGTGAAAAAACAAACATTTTTAAGTTTACACACTCCCCATCAATAGCTCTCAACGCTGAAAAGCTTGAAATATATAAAAGCAGGTTTAAAAATAAATGCATTATTGCAAGAAATGCGAACAGCTTAGTTGCAGCACAGAGATACATTCTACATAATAAGTTTGGAAAAAACTTCTAATTGCCTTCTTTTTATTATACAGTAGACCCCCCTATAACGCGGTAGATACGTTCCTCGTTATAAGAATTTCACGTTGTAGGAATCCTTAAATACATTAGTCAATCGCAGCTTGACACGTGTGAAGTTTACGGACTACGGCTGTTTGAAAGGTTTTCTTCCATAAAATTAATCAATTCTAGACTAATTTGACTCAACATTTCCAAAATACGTATAATTTTTTGAGAATAATACGTATAAACTAGGCCATAAACAAAAAATTGTAGGATTACTTACCGAGTGTTTACCGTTCGACGTCACCATTGCTTAAGCTTGTTTTCGTCGCGGAGCAGCGCACGAAACGGCGGACGCTATTTCTGATGTTACTTTTCTGCGAAAAATTCGTTGAACTTTGGAGACATCATTAATATAAATAATTTTAATCGCCGTTGGATAAAAAATGTTTCTTTTACAAAAAATGTATAAAATTACAGTACTGTATTAGACTTACTGTACCTAATTTACATACTATACAGACGATAATAAACTCAATTTACCCGCCTAAACTTTCTGTAGCGTGGCGCTAGACGGCGGAAAGTATATATATAGTTATAATAAAATTAAAATAAATTAAGTTAATATATAATTATATATACAGTACCTAATTTATATATAATTAATATATAATTATATGTACAGTACCTAATTTATATATAATTTTGTACAGACGATAGAGACGATAGAAATCTCTCCGTAGCGT